TGTATAGTTATATTAATTCACGCTGTGTTTGTAAATTTGTTTGTTTGCCCGCGAACTCTTCACACAGTTTTAGAACTAGCAGGACATAGCCCGCCTATAATGAAGAACTAAAATGTGCCCGAAAGTTCATCCAGGCATTATGGGTTTCGCTGAACCCAAATCTGGCATCGAATTTTATGGTCCTCGTCTCATTCGAGATATCAGGGGCGCCATGATTTGAAATTAGGACGTTAGTGGCATACGTTAAGAGATCAACGCTGGACCTGACCCTCGCTGGTAAAAAACATGAACAGAATCCCTATTAGGAAGATGAGAACGTGCTCAGGTAACGTGTCTCCTAACGAGATTTGTTTTCGGGGAGAATTCCCTTCCTCTTTTCTTTCTTGGAGTAGATATGGAAGTAACTGGTGATAATGTAAGGGCTTCATCGGTACATTGGGTCCTCTGTGAATTATAAGGGAGGCATCGAACCTCACATCTGAGCGCGAGTATTTTATGCGACTAGATATAAGTAATTCCATGATAGAAAACACATTGTTGCTATTTGATTTTTAAATTATTTTTCAAAACGTTGGATATTTTTTGCTCTTGGCTACTGTTTGTAGTTGTACAAAAAAAGTTTTAGAGTAAAATGTAGAATCTTGCATGTCATAAGACATTTGTTAATCGATCAAACTTCTATTTGAGGTTTCGTGGCATCTTGACTCTTTAAAATCACATAAATTTCTAAAAATGAAGACTTTCAAATACTCAATATATGCATATAATCATTTTATTCTTTATGTTCAACAGAAAACAAACAACATTTGTGAGCAAACACTCTAACGAGGTAACACCGTTTCATAGCCAACATAAATCACAAGTACTGAAGGAAGTGGTAATTAAGAAACTGTAAGCAACATTTAACAGCAAGGCAGGTATTACCAGGATGTACAAAAAGCTATATAAAACTTATCAATTCTTACAATTTGATCTTTTTATTCAGTTCTTCCATTTGCTGAGGTTTGGTTTATTGGATCTGTTTCTTCGAACTTTAAAAATAAATAAATAAATAATTATAAAATAAATAGTGAATAAAACTGTTCAACAAAAAATCTAAGTCACATTTAAATTATATTTGTTTTAAGACATTAGTATAAGGCCTATTGTATTTTTTTAAAGGAGTGGCGGACATAGTGTTGCTAAAATACTATTATACACTCTTCTTCTTGAAAAACACTAAGGGACTGAATAAAGAATGTAGTGTTGAAATATAAATAGGCCTAATACTAATGTCTTATGACAAGTATAATTAATTATAATCATGCTTCGTTAGCTTAGAAAAGGTGTTCACGCCATAATAACTATTAGTCAATTATTATCTGAAAAGATAGTTTTATGGTGTGTATTATTTTTATAGTCACACACAGCAGTTCAAACTGTTAGCAAAAAATATTTTTAAACATAATATTCAAGAGTATTTAACAAATTAAGTCAAGAAGGACATTAAAGAGTAGCATATAATTTTAGGAAAATAATAAGTTTTTATATTTGGATTTGATAGATTAGAGAATTTATTACAATACATTTTCTGACTGGTGATGAAATTCTGTAAGCAGTTTACAAAGACCACGAAAAACTAATAACTAAAACAACTGGAACACAATCTTTGAGGTGGATTCTAATTCGTTACATCTTGAAATACGGAACGTATTTTTGTAAGAATGCTATCGTCAAATAGTTGCTGCTTGGAATTTTTAATTTGATATTCATAACAGAACAATTTTTGTGATAAAAGCTTTCCTTATTATCATTTCCTTCAAGACTGACTTATTTTGATAAAGGAAAAACTCATTCTTATAAAATCTTTACAAAAAAACAATTACAATCATGGGAATAGCGATCATTCCAACAGTATTAAAATGATCTGTAGATAATTCTCTGCCATGCCTTGGAGATACACTCTCGTGTGTATTTGATCCGAAAAAGTTTGAAAGTAATTTAGAATGACTACTTAAAATGAGATATACACAATTTCATAAGTTAAAAAATTCCGCTGTAAGGAAAATATAAATTGGCAGAAGTGTAGCTCACCAATTGTTTTGCAAGGGAAGGTCGGCATTTCGATCGAAAAAAAAAAGTCATAAACATTCAATTTTGATCATCAAAGAACAAAGTAATAGCGGAAATGCTTTGAATGCAAAACTAAAGGAAGTCGCAAAAAGTTTGCTATAAACTTCGTACTTAATGTTTATGAATTTTAAGCACTTAAGCGCTTTAACAGGATAGACTGTTACTTTTACAACGCTCCATAGTTGGAAGTGCAGAGTGTTTTTATCAACATCACGGTTCGAACGATTCGCAGCCCAGCACACCACCATTAAGTCACGCCCGGCTCAACTTGACTTTGAAGGCTAGTCGCTCAAATTATACTACAGCTTCTACCATTAAACCTATATTACCTATACATAAAAAAAAAGAAAAATGGTGACACAAGATCCCATGTCATATATTCCAGGATTAGATAACGTTTTCACAATGTTATTTTTGTTCATCAGCCTTATCTGTGAAGATCAGTTACATAAAGATGACTATAAGGGCTGTATTAAAAACAGAAGAAAAATTTACTTCCGTTATAACACCATAGCAATAAGTAAAACAAAACAAATATGCAAAATATAATCCAGCTTGACTTAAAAACAAAACAAAAAACGATTTAAATAATGAACTCCAGTTTCAGAACACCGAACGAATAAATTATTAAAAACAGCGAATGTTTTTTTTTAAATCCAAATAATAGCTTATTTCATTTGATCTGAAATGTTTGTTTTGTTTGAGTCCAAGAATTATTGATAATTTAATACTTCTAGAAACTGAATTTATAATATTTGGCTATGGAACTATCTTTATATTAAGAGCGGGGCGTAGGAGTACTTTTTGTGTTGGGGGGGGGCACCAAAAATTCCCAATTCATAATATAATAACATTTTTCAGTTACGTTGTCAAAGCATCATTGATTATACTTGTAATACCACATTTAAATCTAAGCAAGAAGATAATACACATAGGTTATACTTTACCTATTGGCAAAAACAATATATTTAAGCGATTATTATAATATATATAAATAAGTTTAAGTACTAAAAATACATGTGTATATATATAAATATAATTATTTTGAAAATTAGACCATTATCTGGATTTGCTAAAAAACGACATCTTACTGTATTCTGACTTTTCCCCGCTTATTAGGCCTGCATAAAGAATAGCCACCTTAGATAAAAAAAATGGAATGTTACCATCTATAATATTTATCTGCCTTGAAAATACTGTCACAACAGTGCCCATATCCCTCCGACTCCTACGCCCCTGATGAGTTATTGTCAAGTTATTAGTGTGAATCGGTACCCACGAAGCTCGAATATTAAGTATTTTTGCTAATTATAAGTTAGAAAAAAGTCCAAACAGACGTACAAAAATAGATATGTTTAGGGTTATCTTAATCACTCTTCCTGCTATCTTATTTAAAATTTAACCCTGTCACCTTCACTACATAGCCGTACATCTTGCAGGAAGTTCATCTATTAAAAAACAAACAAACAAACAGTTTCAACAGTTTTACATACAAATCACCAAATGTTGACTGAACGTTTTTCACTTAAATATCGAGCAGTAGTATTTAATCGAAATAGCTAATAGTAGCCATTTGTATTACAACCACTTCGATACGCAATGCCATTGATTTGTTTTGGCTTAAGTATTTTTATAACAACTAACTGAATCTGATGCTGTAGAAACGATTACGAAGATATAATTAATTAGAATAATGCAAGTCCCTTTTGATTTATAATTATTCCTCTGGTTTAAGACGTTTATAAATACTTAGAATATAATATGCACACAATCAATGAACACATCTGTGCTTACCGTGGTTGCCTTTCGATTGACTATGACAATAATTGAGTCAATTTAAGCCTTATTCAAATTATTATACCAATTCATAGTTTTTAGAATGATGCTAGGTACACGCATAAATGAATGTTGAATTTAGCGCAAAGCTATATGAGAGCTATCTGCGTTAGCCATCCCTTATTTAGAAAATGATAATCTAGAGGGAAGACATCTGCTCAATACCAACCTCTGCCAACTCTTGGGCTACTCTTTTGCCAGCGAAAAGTGGGATTAACCGTTACATGGTAACACCCCTTACGGCCGAAAGAGCGACACGTTTGGAGACGAGATTTAAATTCAAACTTGCGATACGCAGGTTACGAGTCGACTACCCAATTACCAGGCCATGCCAGGCCCATAAATGATTGAAGGCGCGGTTAATGTTTGATTAAACGCTCCGCACTGATTTGATACATTCCGTATACATTTGTTTTTCTGTTATCATGGACTTCCTGGTGGGCAGTGGGCCCCGGGGAAATATCCCCCGGCCTATTCGCCTGAATGGTTTAGCAGAGTGTATTTGGAATTACTTGTACCGTTACTTTGACAGTGACAGATTTCATATAATGATCAAACATTTGTATTACAATTTCAGTTTAGGAAATTCTATCAAAACATATGTTATGTTAACATCAACCATGTAAGCAAGGTAAAGTCCGATACGTTACGTGTTTTTTGTACGTTTTAAAGATGTATTTACACACGGTTCAATGGGATTAATAAATAAGCCTTTTTGGGGTCCAATATATTCAGAAGTTATGTTCAAGGCCGTTTTATCCAATGGGTAAAAGGGGGCAGTTGCCTAGGGCCCACCGCCGTCAGGGGCTCACCACGCGTTGCGAGTATAATAAATAAGAGCCCCCCAGTGGCACAGCGGTATGTCTGCGGACTTACAACGCTAGAAACCGGGTTTCGATACCCGTGGTGGGCAGAGCACAGATAGCCCATTGTGTAGCTTTGTGCTTAACTTCAAACAATCATTGCAATCAATCAATAAATAAGAAAATATGAAGTGTATAATAAAACCATAATAATATACCATTTTTTTACGAAATATATATTTTCTTTCCTTAATTTTTTAGCCGTGTCATATTGGCTCATAGAACGGCTCCGAGTTTCTTTTTAAAGTTCAACTTTTAGCTAATAGCTTCGTCATCTCTTGGCCGATTCGAGATCTAATTACAGTCTCATAGATTATTTTACTCTAATCCTACCTAAAAGAATTTCAAGTGCCGCGGCTATTGAGGATTCCCTCTTGTTTTATCACTAATAAGTTCAGTTTATCAAATTGTATACTAATTTATACTTCGCCCAGGGCCCATTTATACTTCTAGTTTATATATATTTTTTCTGATATTGTTATTGGAAAACTACGGTTCTTTAAAAACCACACTGTAATTAAGATGATAACTCTATCATTGTATTTGTATCAGCCATATATGTGCTTAGACAGCCAGCTATAGTTTGTTAAATATGCACTTTCTACTTATCGGCCCCCAGTGGCTCAGCGGTAAGTTTGCGTGTGCTTACAGCGCTAAAAATCGGGTTTTGACACCCGTGGTGGGCAGAGAACAGATAGTTTTGTGCTGAACAACCAAACTAGTAAATCCCACTTATCAACTTTCCGCATTTCCATCAAAAACTAAAACTTTTTTTTCTCTGTGTGTGTGTGTGTATACAAACGTATATTACATGCATGGTTAAGCGATTATATATACTTATATAAATACGACTATCAGTGGTGTAATTGAACACTTAAGTTTTCAAGTTTTACTTTTTAATGCTGTTAATAACAAGGAACACTATACTTTACAAATAAATATTTACACTTTGAAACACAGAATTATAATTTATATCACGGTCTTCTTTCCTAAATATCAAACTTTTAATTAGGAAAACTGGAGACCCAAGACAGGCTACGAATGCAACAGAATAAGCTTATTCAAATCGTATTTTAAACACGCTTCTTAACGAGAAATCTTTGAATCAGTATCTAGGCAAGCATTCCTGTCCTCTAATAACCGTCATTAAACACCTTGAATCTCCAATAGATAAATACAAAACCGATTTCTGGGCAGCAATAACTAATAACCACTAAAGAATGATTACCATTTCTAGCACACCCTCAAGAGAACAATATTATACAAGGAAAATACTTTATTTCTTTTTCAGCCTCATTAAAAGAGACTTCCGGTTCCATCATTTTTGTACTGAAACCAGAACTAGTTGAGACTGTGGGCCAGAAAGTATTTGGACCCAACGACTTGTTCATGGCTTTACCAATTAATTAGAGCAGTCGCATATAATTGCCTCAAGGATTTCCAGCCAATCGTACATAATAAGAGAATAAAAGTTCAAAACACCTTACGCAATAATTTATCTTGGAACCAAGCATACTCTCGGTCAGTTTTTTTTATGATACTAAAAGTTAAACATTTTCTGAGCGCTTGACTCCTTTGTTTGAATACTTTTTGCTTTAAGGATTCTTATATCTGCCTTTTTTTTTAATATTACTGCTCAGTAGAGCAAAAGCAAAAAAATAAAGTGTTATTTATTTTTTTGTCGATTTTCTTCTGTGATAAAGTATTTTAAATAACAAAGGGAAGTCTTGTTCAGGAGCTAAAAACGTTCAACAATGATACATGTTTACTCAATTATGCATGTACACGAGATCCAACTGAACTAAAATTATATAAGTGTACGTTGAACAACAATGTGACTTGGATCTAGTCACACACTTGATAATGTTTCTTTTTTTTTACACACGAACTTTGGAGAAAGAAAAGGAGTATTGGAGTTTCCACTGCCATTAACGGTCTCGGTTACAGTATGAAGAGTCACATTGGAGTTTCCGTTGAATGTCACTTTTGTGTCAACATACGGTTCTGAGCAGCTGTACCGACCTGCCGCACGGTGGCGCTGGTCATAAAGTCTCCTAGACTCGATTTTCCCAGTGCAAGAACACATTAGGAAAACTCTTTTGAATCCTTGACGAAACCTACAATTACAAAAAAAGAGTAATCTACGTTAAGGCGATGCCAGACGATAAAGCTAATTTATATATCTATCTGTATATCTTAATAACGAAATATGATCTTATTTCATGATAACAAACGATAAAATATATCTTAATAACCAAGGATAATGTTATTTCTAAGAATTCGACAATAAAGATATTATATATGTTTTAATCAACAAACATATTCTTATTTCCAGGAGCCAAACAATAAATATCTACCAATTAAAAGAAAGAGATAGCATTATTTTCTTTAAATACATGATATACTCTGAATGATATTATGATTGGTTGAATCTTAAGCATGATATTTGTGCTTGTTCCCATAACAACCTGGTGTATATAAAAGCATTATGAATGCTTGTAATTATGAATTCCATTTGTCTGTGTATATGCTAGTGTTGAATAGATCTGAAAAGATTTGTTTGTTTCATAGCAAATCCACGTTGGACTATCTGCTGTGTCCACCGCGGGGAATCGAACCTCGGATTTTAGCATTGTATTGTTTGTTTGTTTTGAATTTATGCACAAAGCTACACAATGGGCTATCTGTGCTCTGCCAACCACGGGTATCATTACCCAGTTTCTAGCGTTGTAACTTCGCAGACATGCCGCTGTGCCACTGGGGGGCTTTATGAAGACATCGGAAGACATCCACGAAGAGAAGCTGTGATTTCTGGTTACGATTATCTAGAAATATATACAAACGTTGCTATTTAAAATACTAATAAAGCAGTATAAAATTAACTGTACTAGGCCGTTTTGTATGTTTATGAAACGTCTGCAACCCTTAACATTATCTGGATGGAAAAGTTTTACAGAATAGCTTCTAAACCCAGAAAAAAATAAACAAACAAATGTCTTTAGAGCAAATTTTGTAGGAGGTTTTGGATACTTTCTTGAATTTGACGAATCATTCTATTTTCAGTAATTAATTAAACAGTTTGTTTGATACAATGCATTTCAACTAATCTAGATGAATGTGATGAAATAGCAGTAACAAACAAATTACTTAAGTGTTTTATGCACTTTTCTCTTCGGAAACGACTAGCATGCGAGAGTTTTTAATGCCATTAGACGAAATACTATATAACTACGTAGAATATCCAACTTGGTAGGGTTTTGCCTAATCCTGCCGATTACTACAGTTTATAAATTATGAATGGGTTTGTGTGTGTGTTTTTTTATAACAAAACTACATCGAGCCATCTGCTGTGTTCACTGAGGGGGAACTGAACCCCTTATTTTGGTGTTGTAACTCCGTAGACTTACCGCTGTCCCACCAGGGGACATCATGAATGGTTGTTGTTGTTTACTATTAAGCACGAAGCCACACAAAGGGCTATCTGTGCGCTGCCCACCACGGGTATCGAAACCCGGTTTCTAGCGGTATAAGTCCGCAGAAAAACCGCTGTGCCATTGGGGGGGGGGGGTCATCGTGAATGGAAGGAGAAACTTCCAGCAATCTGAATTTACTGGACACTCTATGCTTCTAGAGTTTACTGGATTGGATGCCAGAAGGTTGAATTTCATATGGATTCGCACATTCTGACTAAATATGATAGCCAGTTGATATAATAATGATATAATAATATAAAAACTCGAAACAGCATTTTACTCCTTACTATAATAGTTTGTTCGTTTGTTTTGAATTTCGCGCAAAGCTACACGAGGGCTATCTGCGCTGGCCGTCCCTAATTTAGCAGTGTAAGACTAGAGGGAAGGTAGCTAGTCATCACCACCCACCGCCAACTCTTGGACTACTCTTTTACCAACGAATAGTGGGATTGACCGTCACATTATAACGCCCCCACGCGAGCATGTTTGGTGGGAGGGGGGATTCGAACCCGCGACCCTCAGATTGCGAATCGAGGTACTTAACCACCTGGCTATGCCGGGCTACTATAATAGGTCCAGAAAAATAAAATAAAATAAACGCGCCTTAGTGGCGACGAAAGTGAGACCAAGATAAAAATCTCCACTACCACCACTCCTGAACAAGTAGATTGTTAAAAATTTCCACCACCACCACTCCCGAACAAGTAAACTGTTAAAAATCTCCACCACCACCACTCCCGAACAAGTGAACTGTTAAAAATATGCCGTTATTTTTGTCAATATATCGCTTTCGTTATCAGTTCGCAAGAACGATTCAGGTACATATGTTATCTGTAAAGAAAATTTACACAAACTGAAACAATAGATGTTTTGTATAAAAAGTAACACCAGTCCTAACGGTCTTTTAAACAGAACAAACCCATGTAAAGATCATCACCAGACTATTCGACACTCCTTCCCTTCCCCTCCTTCTCTTCCTTTGACCACGTTATTTTATGATTCAATAACTGATCATATGCTCTAACATATCTAGGCAGAAAAATAGAACACTGAATTGTTTGTTTGTTTTGTTTGAATTTCGCGCAAAGCTACACGAGGGCTATCT